TTTTAATTAAATAATTTCTTTACTACGGCGAAAAGGCTTATTCCGAGCAGCATATTATAAAACTCGACGCACGGCAACCCTCCCTTTAGATTTTTCTTGCTAAACACTAAGTAACTATTTAATCGACAATACGATACGGATCTTTTTACCGAGCCTTTTTGTTTAAGAGCTTGCACTTGATTGCATTATACTTTTTTCCCTTTTTTCGATGGAACCTTATATTATTGCTATAGCACATTGGCTTTAAGACTTGGCCGATAGCAAACATTAATATATAAAGAACCTCGACCTTTATACTCGGCAGCTCGTCCGCTCAATTTTTACGCGATATAAGGCTCTTGCTAAACCCCTTTCTTCCCTTTCGATACTTTTATTAGACAAGACTTTATCGATATATAATACTCGTTTCGCTAAGCTTTTCGAGCTGATTTTTCGATATCTTTTAACCCTTTCTCTTCCGGACATTTAAAAAGATATCTTTGCGATCGTGTAAAATATCAAAGGGATTATAATGAATACGGAAAGCTGCGTGCTAAACGAAGCTTTAAGGATACAAACAATTGCCGATATGATAAAATAGACGATGGACCGCCTTAATAAAGAATGATTTTGGTAGCTTAAACGGAATATATATTTATACTCGAGGACGAGTGATCGTTGCGTTGCAACTCCGCTCTTTTTTACGAGAAGGGGGTAGTATGACGACTCGTCCCTTTTGGCCATGCTGGCCTATGCTTCAGGCCTCGCCAAGGCTCTAAGCGAGCCCCTTGGCCACACATATATATAGTTTGCTTTCAGACCTGTTCTGGTTCTGTACCTTGATATTCTAAGCACATCACCAACAGTTTGTCTGAGCTCTTCGTGTCGTCACATATTCCACTTTCTCTTCCGCAAGTTATTAAACCTTAATAATAAAGATTTTTTTCGAACCCATTCGCCGTCCTTTATTCTTTTTGTTTAGTTAGTTATTTTTTGTTAGTTAGTTTTGCCCTTGACTTTAGGGTCAAGGTGCGTAGCTGAGGGCGAAGCTTGGCCTTGATTTTCTACTGGTTCTCTTTCAGAGCTAGCTTATTCAAGGCGAATAGGCTATTTTGGCCCAGCAAGCTGGCCAGATCAGAGAAAACGCTTGGCAAGCTTAGCCCAAAGCGTCCCTACTAAATATAGAGAGTCGTTCTCTACAATTGAGTTCCCCTTTGTTGTGACTTGATACTTGTGACAGGAGGAACGATAAACGATACCTATGAAAGCTTGGCATTTTCAAATTCCAGCTAAGCTAATAAGCCGGAAGCAAACACGGAGAGCCCGAACATGAATACTCTCACTCAGCTCGAGAATCCCGGAACGATGAGGTATCTAGCTTCCTCTCTTGTCTGCAAAGGCGTAAGTCTTTCTGTACGTCGAGGTGAAATAGAACAGAACAGAATAGAATAGGACAGGGAAAACACGAGGCGGGAGGGAGAGAAGGTGGTGATGGGTAGGTGTGTGTAGGTGTGGATGTATGTTTTGGAGGGGAGTAGATGATGGGGAGGCGGGAAGTAGTGGTATGGAATAGTATGTCGATAACCAGTAGGTATTAGTGAGCGAGCGAGTGACGCGCCCCGGGCGAGGGAAGTTTTGTTGCATGTCGCAGGTTTCTTTACTCCGTCCGACGCCCTGAAGCGAGGAAGATGATCTCGCTGCCCTCGGCTGTAACCGGGCTCCTAACTAAGTGACTCGGTGGGCGAGTGGATAAACGAAAGGTCCGGGAACACTTTTGTTGCATATCGCAGATTTGTTTACTTCTGAAAGTCATGGTGCTGCGGAGCTTATCACAATCTTTGAAGGCCTGATGCTTATATCAGGGATTCACAGCACGACCAGGACGAGAGTTGACGCCTCCCTCTGTACCGACTTGGGACAATATACACGGCCCAAGGCGGAGGAAACAACGACGAAGAAGTAAAGCCCTGGATCTCGCACCTTGTACATTCTGACTCTCTCCAAACGGGCAGGAAGGAGACCGAGCTCGCTTTGCCGAATGCAGCAAAGTCAATAACAACAACAACTACCACAACAACCACAACAACGAATAACTAACTTCTTATGAACTCCCGAACCCATCAATAATTTCCACCCATCCATCACATCCATCACATCCATCACCACCACCAGATAAATACTGCCCGAAACCCAAATTCGTCACCTAGGCTGCTCCATGGGGTGGGGGCCCCATAGGGTTTTCCTCTCCATTCCTTTTATAAGGTCTTGGCCGATAAAGGACTTTTTTTTTAAACCTTATAAGGAGGATTTTTTTAAATCAAATTCCTTACGAAGGATAAGGAAACCTTATGGGTTTAAAGTGGGACAGCTAAAAATAATATATATAGAGCCGCTAAAAATAAAACAAATTTACGAATATTTATTAATTTTACTTAATTATTATATTTATTTATTATATTTATTAATTATATATATTATACTTTACAATTACATTGCATTATATTATAATAAACTAAAATTACTAAACAAAACTTTTAGTTATGATTTCTCGCAATTTCTTAACCAACGCTATATCTTTGTTTTAAATCGTTACTCGTTTAGCGTAAATAGCATATAAGTTCGTTATTAAAAGTGATTAGTAAATCGATTAATAAATCGATTAGTAAATCGATTAGTAAATAAATATATAAGTACTTACTTTTAAACTCTTTTACGAAAAATGCTTTTAAAGCTTTTTGTAAATATTTTAAAGCACCGCTTTGAAATTTAAAGTCTTGTTTAAAATCGTAAGTGATCTTTCGAACAAGACGCTAAAAAGGAGTCTTTTTGATAAGAAGCTCGGTGCTTTTTTAATATCGTCGGATCTCTTTTAACGTAATAGCTATATAAATTAATAATTATACTTAAGAATCAATTTATTAATTAATTAAACTTACTTTTTAGCTTATAGCGACGGCGCTTTCGTTAGCTTAGACTTTCTTTTTTCGCAATAATTGCAGACTTTTTAAGATACTTGTCGGTATATCCATATCGACCTTAGCTAGCTAGTAGTAGTAGTTGGGGAAGCTCACCCATGAACCATGGTTCACGGGCCACTTGGCATGCCTCGCTTAGCATGTCAGCAGTCAAGGGACCCTTAACTTGACAAGTAAGCTTATTAGTTAGCTAGTGCACGTGATTCCTTCTAATCATATAGAAAGAATCAGCTCCCTTGAGCATTAAGAAGCAGACAGAATTCAAATACTTTATTAACCGAGTGTTTTGCAATTGCAAGTACTTTAACGACCTTACGAAGTTACGAATATATTCTTAATCGCTTAAAAGCAATCCAATATTTATTAATAATTGAATTACTATTAAGTGATCAATCATAGAGAAGCTAAGACTTTATAGCGAGGATACCTTTCAATACGATACCTTCTTCCTTTACAACGGAAGAGCGATTCCGTACCAAATCGCTTTTTATACTATCGATTTTCCTTATTCTTACGGAAGAGTGATTCCGAACCAAGTCACTTTCAAAACAACAACTTCAACGCTGTAAGAGCCGCGCCTGTTACATATAGCAACCCAACTAAATTTGGACCGATCTACATATAAACAGATAACAACTATAGCCGATCGAGCAACTGGACTTCCGAGTAGAAAGTCCAGCCGATAAGAAGCAAGGTATTGTAAACACCCTGCCTGATGGGGTACCTGCCATGGCCACTAGGGCCACACTAGACGGACCTATCTTCTATAAAAGGGCACACATCTCTTAGCTAAAACAATCAACGAGCTTTCCACTTATCTTTTCTGACTCTTCCTTGTGAGACCATGAAGTCTAGCCTCAGAGCCAGGCTTTTATACGGCACATCTTTTTAAGTGCTTTTATATTAGTGACTTACGCAAAGATTCAAACCTTTAGTCTTTGTCCTTATACAGCCTATTACAATCGCTTGATTCGCAGTTAAGTTGATCTTCGTTTATCATTCAGCACTTCCTTCTACTATTATAACTTCAAAACAATTAAAACCTTATTCCCGATGGGTTCGGATACCGAAATGCCGAAATGGCCGAAGTGCAATATTTCGGCTCTTCGGCAAAAACTCTCTTTTATTATTAATAAGAAAGAATTTTCATTCATTAATGAAAATATCCTTCTATACCTTAGCTCTTATCTTGAATTAAAGCAATTGACATAGTCCGGAGTTGTTAGCGAAGCTAATCAATTGATTTTTAAGTTTTTTATAGTTCTGATCTTATCTATTAGTTTACTTTTATAAAGAGTCTACTCTTTTTAATCTCGGATCGAGAATACTTTGCGAAAATCGCTTATTTTACCCGTAAACCCGGTTCACGAGTCAAAATCAAACAATTCAAAAACCTTTCATCAACCCGATCATTTTTAACACATACACATATTTGATCTTTAGAATACCGAAAACATTCTTAAGATTTTTAATATCGAAGTCGGCGCCGAGTCACTTCCTTTTTCGTCAGAATCCTTTGAATTTATTGAATCCTTTGGTCGTATTCTTATAAGCTTCGGACTATCTTTATCTTACTTCGACTTTTAACCAAAACCTTTACTTCTATCGGAAACACTTGCTTCGGAAATGCTTTTTAAAATAAACACCGGTCTTAAAATCTATATTACTCCTCCTCTTCTTATTCTTCTTGCTCCTCTATTAAGCCTTGCGCTAGTTATAATCGACCTTGCTATCTTTTACGCTTTCATAACTATTCGCATGCTATTGCTAAGTGCCCTAAGAGCTTTTTGCTTTAATAGTGCTAACATCACCGACTTTATCGAGAAGTACGAGGAGACTTATGATAACTTTAATATCTTTGAAAACGATCGGTTCGTTAAGCTCTTTCGTTACTACGATAACCCTCGCAAAAAGGTCATCAAGAGCTTGCTCGAATAGAAAGCTAAAAAAGATTAAGCTGCCCTCGTCAAGGCTTTAAAAGCCGAGTTTCGTAAGAACGATACTTAACAGATCAAGGACTTAATCGCCTTTTTGCAGGAATTTGCTATGCAAGAACGGGATGTCAATAACTTGAAAAACTATTATCGCACCTTTTCTCGAATCTCCGAAAGATTTACTTCGATGCACTTATTAAGCAAGACCGAACAAGGCCGCTTGTTCTTTTTCGGATTGCCCGTCGGAATCCGAAATAAAACGATCAAGCATTATAAGGTCGACGAACTCGACTTAGACTCTTATGCCGTTTTCGACGACTTCGTCGCATTCGCTTTTAAGACCGACCAAAGTGCTAGGACTATCGAAGCTATGAATCGAGAAAAGTCTTTTTTAGCTAACTTTATTAAAGATATTCGGACCTTAATTAAAGAACACACCGAGCTAGCTAGCGTTCTTGAGTCTGCTAAAAAAGCTTTAATAATAGTGCCGTTCACCCGTGAACTACGGTTCACGAGTAAAAAAAAAGGAATTGATAAAGTAGGTTCTATAATTAAAAAGTTTTCTAACTTGCAGATCGGTGCGATCTATAATCGAATTAATTACTTCGAAGACTAAGTCGCCAACTTAACTTTCCGACGCCTTGTTTAATCTTAGCTTTAAGTTCGATTCGAAGACTACGACGAAGCCTTTACTAAGTATACCGCTTAAGATGCTCGAAGTAAGGTCAGCCTCGGAAGTGGAGTTTAAATTGCTGCTATCGGCTACGGATTATAAAGACGAAGAAAAAAAGGAGGTAAAGGATACGGAAGCTATATGCAAGATTATAGCTTTTGCGAGAACTCCGGAAACACAACTCAAGCTCTTTATTAATATCGAGATAAATGTAAAGCCTTTAAGGACATAGTCAATAAAAGATATATTCATATCAATGATTACGAACGCCTTTGCTTAAGACTTAAGAAGATCGGTGTCTTTATCATCTAGAAAAAGCAAAGAAAGACTTGGTTCAGATCTATCGTATTAAACGTTCGAAAGACGGAATACGACAATATCCTAAAGAATCGGCTTATTAGCGGACCTAAGACTTATAGACACTTGCTCTTTCATCAACAACCAATTTAACAGCCAGCTTAGTATCAGCTCGATCAAAATGCTTAGCAACTAACCAACCAGCTAAAAGAACTTACCACTATTCTTAAAAGACTAGTCGACACTAAAAATATCAATGCTATGAGATAGATCAACACGCTTAGCCACCTATCCAGCATAGAGGTCGCTTCGGTCGAAATCAACGCCGCCGCAAGAAACAAAGCCAAGAAGCCTTTCCCGCCTTCGAAAGGATCTAAACCTATTAAGATCAAAAAAAATATCCGATAACAAAAGGAAAAGAACTACGATACCTTTAGGGCCCGTGCTTCTCAAGAATCGAGTACTGCTGTAGAGATAGACTTAAAGGATAGGTTGTTCGATAGTATAATTAAGAAAGAGTTTTCTAGACTAGCTGCAGCCGACGAGGCTATAGAGGATGTAGAAGGAGAGGTCGAGATCACTCAGCGAGTGCTAGGAGGAAGGAAGAAAAGGACTTATAGACGAGAGAAGTTCATTGACCTTTACGTTATTATTAAAGCTCAAGAAAAAGCAATGGCGGTTATTATAAAATCGAGAATCGAGGTTTAGATTAAAGACTTATTCGGACTCAGCTCTCGCTTCGACAAGCTATTAAGCCACCATATCCTAGTGGTGCCCGATGCTAAAGAAAACGTAGAGGTCCTTTAAGGTAAGCTTATTCTTATGAACGCCTTAACTATTAAACGTTTAGGTCGGAATAAAGAAAGCAAGCTAGACTTTTTAGCGACGCAAATCCGTAAACAACTCATCGCTCGCAACTGCTTTAAGATAGCGATAAAGACTCTAAAGGTTTTTATTAATATCGACGGTATGGTCAAGAGCAGATCCTTCTTCGATAGTAGATCTAAAGTCAACGTGATAAATAAGGAAGTGGTTAAGATAGCTAAACTACTTATTATAACGGATCGAGCCTTGGTCTATACTATCGTGTTCGAAGATCTTTACAACTTCGATAAGTAGATAAACGACGTCGAGGTTATTATCGGCGGAATTATTAATTACGCTGATTTCTTTATTATTAATAATAGCAGTTACGAAGTCATCTTAAGCATGCTTTTCTTCTTGGAATCCTAACTCTTTTTTTCTTACCCCGATAATAGTACGATAAAGGCCTTTTTTTAGAACCACAATCGATCTACTTAAAAACAGATTACTATTGTAAAAGACAAGTCGGATTTGGTCGAAGACTTAAGAAATTAATAGCTAGCATACAAGTTAAAATAGATGCTAAGCTAGAAAGAGGCTTAAAAGGAAATTCCGCCCGTGAACTATAGTTTATAAGTGGATCGGCATAAAAACAATAAAATCATAAAAAAACAATTTAACTTAATATTAAGCAAAGCTTACTAAAATCAAAAACATTAAAAATATTTGCAATCAAACTCGATAAATCGGAAAATTTTATATTTATTATCGATAACGACAAGGACCTTTTGAAAAAGAATGTGATAAAAGTTAATACGATATACAAAAGGAAGGCAGAGAAAGTCAAACCGATGGATTTAAAAGTGTCGGATAGAAAGATACTTAGAAAGATCGATGATTAGTTTGAGCAAGATAAAAAAGCGAGACCTTTTAGGCCTGGAAGACTCTTTTCGGAATACTTTATTAGCAAGTTTTTAAACTTAGAAATTAAATTAAAATTAACGAAAGAACGATTCGAAGCATTTACGATTGGCTTTCAAGTCATTCCGGAAGAGAAAGAGCTGCTTTACTAATGCCTTTTGAATCGAAAGGAAGCGATGACTTAAGATTTTATCTATCTTAGCTAAGTCCGAAAGGAAATCATGCTACTCTAGAAGATCAAGACGGTGCCGCACGAAGCCTAGCAAAAGAAAACGTTTACGGTATCGAAAGCTTTGCAAAAGATAGTCATCTTTATGTTAAAAGAACGATTAAAGCAAAAGGTCTTCGAACTATGCTAAGGCTTTTACCGGAACAAATGGTTCATTATAATAAAGAAAGAGAAAGGAAAATACAAGCTGATTATTGCCGTAATTAAGATGAACCGTATGACGGTTAAGGACGCTAATATTGCTTCGAACGTAAACTAATTCTCGAACGAATTTGCCGGTCTTACGATAGCTATACTCTTAGACTTCTTTTTTAAATACGATCAATTCTTTTTCGACGTTGAGTTTAAAGATATGACAGCTATTTAAACGCTTATCGGACTGCTTCGGATGACTCGGATACTTATAAGAGCTACTAATTCGATCGCTTAATTCGTTAAGGTCATTTATAAGATCTTTATGAACTGCATTCTTAACGTTTGCTTGCTTTACATAAATGACGTAAGAGTCAAGGGATCGCGATCCTTTTATAACTACGAAAAAGTTTTGCTCGGAATACGACGATTCGTTTTGGAGCATATTTAGAATATTAACAAAGTGCTCGTGAGGTTTAAAAGAGCTAAGACGACCGTCGAAACTAAGTCTTAATACTGCATGCTCGGGCTCAATATCGTTGGATTCGTTACGGATAGCGAAGGACGCTACCTTTAGACCGCCAAAATTGAGAAGATATTAAAATAAATTAGGTGCGAAGATGTATCGGAAGCCCGAGCTTTTATTAAGATCGTAGTTTATTATAAAATCTGGATCAAAAACTTCTTTATAATTGCTGCCTTAATCTACGCGATTATAAGAAAAGGGGTCGAATTCGAGTGGTTAGAGCCTCAGCAAGAAGCGATAAAGCTGCTTAAGGAAGCTTTGCTCTTTGCCCCCGCTTTTATCAAGATCGACTATAGCAAGAAAAAAAGGAAAATTTACTTGACGGTAAACGCTAGTCTTAAGGGATAAGAAGCAGTATTGCAGCAAAAGGATCTTGATAAGAAGCGACATTTTGCCAAGTTCGAGAGTGGTCTTTAAAACTTTGCAAAGAGCAAGTACGACGCGACCAAGCGAAAATGCCGCGGTGCTTTAAAAGCTATAAAGAAGATAAAGAGCGAATTATACAGAGTTCATTTTATCTTGGAAACCGACGCTAAAGTATTAGTTAACCAACTTAACGGATTAGCAAGCGACTTGCTTAAAGCCTTCGTTACGAACTAAATTGCGTAAATAAGATTAATAGACTTTAAAGTTAAGCATATCTTTAAAACTAAAAACACGGCAGCGGACGATCTTTTTAAAAAGAGAAAGGAGCATCCTTCAGACATCAGGGAAAAAGAGAAAGAAGATATTAACGATTGGGTCACTAACGAGCTAAGCACTGTTTTAGTATTCTCGATTAAACGACTCGTGAACTATAATTCACGGGTTAAAAAAAGAGTTTTGAAGCACGATTACTCGCTTGACTTCGAGCTTATTGCTCAATTCTTCACCACTTTCAAACGCTTTCCTTCGATTAAGACCTACGACTTCTAGAAGTTTAAGAACAAAGCACTCAACTACTTGGTTAAAAATGGTTACCTTTACAAGCGAGCAGATAATTCCTACCCGATCAAGCTAATTGTCGACGGAACCTAAAGACGCTACACTATTATTGCCGACGCCCACCGAGAATCCGGACATAAAAAAGCTGAATCAACCTACTACCGCATATCAAAACTCTTTTTTTAAAATGGATGCTACGAAAACTGCAAGGCCTTCGTTCAAAGCTATAAGCCTTATCAGAAACGCAAAGCTGGACGAACAGAAAACCCTTTATACTCGACCTGGCTTACGCAGATATGGTCAAAAGTCAGCCTAGACGTATCACGAGTACTTATTACCGACAAAAGGATGACCTGCTTCGTCTTAGCTAAAGAAGATTTATTTGGATAGCTAGAAAGGCGACCACTTCGATCAGCCAACGCCGAATCCATTGCTAAGTTCCTTTAAAAAGATATCGTTTGCTGCTATAAACTATTCGAAAGACTAACTATCGATAAAGGGCCCGAAAACAAAGCAGTTGCTAAGGCCTTCGCTATCAAGTACGGGATCAAAAGGGTCTAAATCTCAAGCTATAATTCAAAGGCTAATGGAATGATTAAGAAAAGCTATAAGGACATCTTGGATAGCTTATCGAAAGTCATAAACGAAAGATTTAAGGATTGGGTCCGCAAATTCAATAAAATGCTCTTTGCGGTCCGGACATCGATACACGCACTTATTAAAGTTACCTCCTTCTTCCTAAACTACGGACGAGAAGCTGAATTGCCCTTAAAGTCACGATAGCCAGTCTAGAGGCTACTGCTATAGCAAGAGGTTCGATCCCGCGCTGACCTGCTTGTTATAAGGTTCAAACAATTGGAACTCCGAGACGAAAATATCGACGAGATCATTTTAAAGAAGAAGCGCTATCGGCTTGCCGCTAAAGCCACTTGGGAACGAATCAAGGTCTTAAAGTCGGAACCTATTAAAGAAAAAGATCTAGTATTGCTTTACGACGTTAAACGCAGCATCGACATATCCGCGAATACCAAACTAGACTACAAGTAGCTAAAACCTTATGTCGTCTTTAAAGCTTACGACAAAAGATATTATAAACTCTAAGAAACCGATAGGACTAAGCTCAAAAGCACCTTTATAACTAACCGCCTCAAGCGATTCTACCGCCGCGATCAAACCTTCTTTCCTCTTAATAAAGACGACAAAAAAAAAGAAAAAGAAGATTCGGACTCCTTAAACAACTCGGACCTCAGCGAATACGAGCCTTTCGACGACGGCAAAAGTGAACTACTCAATCCAAAGGTGATCTTAGGACCCAAGTCCACCAACTTCTAAATCATTCTCTTAATACTTTCGAAAGAACAAAAATTAGCTTATAAAATTATTTCTTAGTCTGTTTCCCTTACTTTGTTTTTTCCTACGTTCTTATCCTCTCTTTGTTCTACACCTATTTTATAAAAGGACGTGCCCTAATGATCATTCTTTTTATTTTGGTAAGGAAAGGTATTTCTTACGTTTGTTCTCTTACCTTTGGACCTGCCTTTTATTGTATTCTCTATTCTTTCTTTGTTCCTCTCACTTTACTTACTATTCACTTATCTTATACAGATTGTTCTTATTGTTTGATTGTTTTTTTATTTGTTTTGGGCTTATACGGCTATTTCCTATTTCTTATTTAAAACTGTTCCTTTGTTTTAAGCGTGCTCAACTACGTGTATTCGAAAGTGAACTGCTATTAGAAAAAGTGGGTCCCTCCCACAAATGTACTTATATAAGAAAGCTCCCTCCTCTTTCTTCTTAACATTTTCTCTCTTTATATAACAACAACTACAACAACATTACTACTACCTCCTTTCTTTATAACTATACAAAACCATACTAACACCAACGACCTTCAATCATCACCTAATCAATTATCATCATTATCAGCCTTATTCCGCTATCTTATGTTTGACCCGTAAACCGTGGTTCACGAGTTAAATATGCCTCTTAAGTCAGCCGCCGCTAAAGGAAAAGCCTTTGTCCGAGATGCACCCTCTAGCCTACTAATAAGCGAAAAGCAAGCCGCCTTAGCCCGACAATCTAGTTTCGAGCTAAAGTTCGAAAGACGAGTTATTAAGACCTTCGATAAGTTTCTTTAGACTTACCGCTAAATAAGCAACTCTAATCAACTAGCTATGCTTAAAATAGCAACTTCCGACCTTAATAATAAATTAAGTAAAGAAGACGACTTGATTTTGCAATACGACCAATTCTTGCGAGCCGAATGCGCAAAAAAAAACATAAACGCCGAAGACTTTCTTTCGGCTTACGACCAGTTTACTACTAGAATCACCGCTATCCACTCTTTACGCAACAAAAACGCCGAAAGACATAGACGAATCAAGAGAGCCTTTGACGGCGCTCGAGGTTAATTGTTATATGACGACCACCTTAAGGCTATATGCACCTTAATCCGCAGCGCTCGCTAACTAGGCGTCATTTTAAAGAACTGCACCTTTAACGCTTACGCTATCCAAGTCATCAACCACTATATTATTGCTTACGTTGCCTTTCAAAAGACTATAGCCAATATAGCTCGAGAACGCAAGTTCACCAAGCTCAATGTTACGGTAATCAACCTCACTTGCTAGACCGTGGAAAACAAAAATAATATTAAGTAGAAAGATAAGATCGCTATTCTTAACAAAAGACTCTTAAAGAAGCTAAGACTAAAGGTCTTATCATATAGCTTGTTGATTTTAGCTTTCGACAACATTAAAGGCGAATACGACGAGCTTAAAAAACGTATAGAGTTTGCCGACGAGAATCAGACTTAGAATTTCGTTTTGTAAAAAAAGCCCGAATCGAGAACTTTACTCGTAAACTATAGTTCACGAGTAAAAGATGACTTAACAACTAAGGCAAGACTAAGTTAACCCTTTGCTTTTAAGACCCTTTTGCTTAAATCACTTATTGCGCGCCTTTCGCTATCACTAGCTTTGTTTCAAGGATCGACGTCATCCTTTGCTAATAAAGCCCCGAACGCTAAACTGGTTGCTTCGATTATGTCCACTTTACGCAAGTCCATCGACGCGAGCTCCTTTGCAGCCTTTGAACTTGAAGTGCAACGCGACCCTTTCGAGAACCAGCTGCTACTAGCACTACTCGTTAAAAAAAGAGACAGCTTCGAGTACGAACTAGCTAAGGCTATGTCGAACCGCTGTTTAAGACTCGTCGAGATTAAGGACTTTATAAGTATAGACGTAGCTTTCATCAACTTTTGCTAAGACTTTTACTAATTAGCCCTCGACCGCTTGAACTTGAACGAAAACATCGATAATGCTTTTTAAGTTGCCGCGGAATTAACTAAGAAAGCTATCAGCCAGATCCGCAAGCTTTTAAAAGACGAATTTTCTAATAACGCGATCTTACGACTTTTCGACCGTCGTAGCCAAGTAAGGATAAGTGGGGAAAGAAGCAAGGTAGTGAACTACTTTTTGCTGTCCGAGATCTTTAATTTAAGCCTTAACGACGACGATTGCGACTGCATAAAAGTCTCTTAAGAGGTGAAAAACGTATTAGAATTTAAAGATAGATTCAAAGAACTCTTTGACTTAGACGTTTAAACGAAGCTCCGCTTCAGCCGCAAAGTTTCACCGTCCGCTATCGACCTATTAAAAGGAGTCTTTTGCGAAGTCTATACTTTCGAATACGCTAAATACCTTGGGCTAGCTACGAAAGGCTTTACAATAGTAGTGATCCGTTCCAATCTGTGTCGATTTATCGAGGCCTTTTAAACTAACGCTTTTAATAACTTCATGCTTTACCCGAGCAATCAATCGATGTTCGCTATTAAGACTAAGGGCAGTACTTTAGCTAAGAGAATATCTAGCTTAAGCTCTTTTAAGTTCAAAGCCAAGCCGATGTCTTTTAACAAGCTGAACTAAAGCACTAGCTTGATAAGCACCGCTTAAAAGAACAGCCCCTTTAATACTATAGATGCAAGTAGCTATACGAAAGTTTGGCTTATATTAAAAGCTTTTTTTTTGAACAACAAGCACGGCAACTAAACCTTCTTCACTATTATAAACAAAGAGATCTAGATGTACCTTTACTACTTTCGGACTAGTGACTCAAGAGGAGCCCCGATTAATGCACTCTTTAACATAATGCACTCCTTGACCTAGCAAGTCCTTCGAAGCTATTATAAGCTGTACTTTGCCGCTTTGCTTAATCGCCGAGACGGAAACTACAAGCTCATCGCTTATCCGGAACCTTTTTAGCTCTTTAAATGCAACAATAATGCTCGAGTGATTGCGATCAAACACGACGTTGATATTAAACGACTCGTAAACCGTGGTTCACGGGTAGAAGACAGAGTTTTAAATTACTACTTGATGCTTTACGACGTAAAGACTTAGATCGGAAGCTTAGCTATTTGGCCTTAAAGCCACACTTACGATACTACGCTTAGAAAGACCGCTAGATAAGAAGCTTTTAGACTTAAGTCGAAGACTTTAAATGCCTTTAAAAATATTACGCCGCGCCAACCTCTCGCTATAATCAGTGATCTCGCCACCTTTATATCCGTTATCACGAAACAAAGTGTTTTCTTAGACATAAACGCTTTCTAAAATGCCTTTTGCGGATAAGCTATCTTTTTTAATAACTACACCGCTTTGCTGAACGATAGTATACTAGAAAATAGAGTCAGCTTTGCAAAGCACGCTTGTACCATCGTCTTAAGACGCATGCCGCTAACCTTTCGATAAAGAGTTATTAATAAATCAAGCTAGCCCTTCGCCGCCATAATCCAACTAAACCACGTCAGTTTCGTATCAAAAGCCTTAATCGGAAAAATGGATTGGAACGAACTTTGAGTAGTAAAAGAATTGACCGCTATCTTTGCTATATCCCGGACTTAGTTTTAAGAACACTTTATTAAGCATAAAAAAAAGTTGTTTTCGGCATTTAAAAAAGGATTTGCTATTGTCTTAGATGCTGAAGCTAAGACTTACGAAGTCAAGTCTTTCTTTAAAAGCAAGAGCCGCCGAGCTGACGACCTTATAGACGCCGATAAGTTGAAGGATTTTAAAAAGAGCTTGCGACCGATTAAGTTATCTTTTAACGACTCCGATTTAAGTGTAGAAATCACTTTGGAAAGTGCGAAATCCACTCGTGAACCACGGTTCACGAGCCAAATCGACGATCTTGAAGCATCATCTTCTCAGCCGGAATCCTTAGACCGCGCATTCGATAAGGTTATAAAAGCCTTGGCTGATTTGCTTAAAGACGAGGATGACCTAACCAGTAGCTCTGGACCTTATTCTGGCCTCGCTAACTCTCCGTCGGCTAAGTTCACACTTATCAACGATGCTACTAACAAGCGCAAAAACGATACGCGCTCTTTCACCCTTAAGGATACTGCTGCTGGCACGTCATCGTCTAATGCTGGCCTTGCTAAAAGAAGAAGACCCTCCCAACCTAAAGAGAACGAAGGAGTTGAGGACGTAAACACGGAAAGAGATTATAAAGAAGCTGCCGAAGCGTAGTTTAGTAGTTTAGATGTTTGGAGTTTGAAGACAAGATACCCCCCCTTTTTGTACACTAGATTTTTTCTTTCTGCTATACCCCTTTTTTCTTCTTGCTTAATGATAAGCGGGGGCGCTTACCTATTCTATAAAGGGACGGATGTAAACACCCTGCCTGATGGGGTACCTGCCATGGCCACTAGGGCCACACTAGACGGACCCATCTTCTATAAGAGGGCACATATCTCTTAGCTAGAATAATCAACGAGCTTTCCACCCATCTTTTCTGACTCTTCCTTGTGAGACTATGAGGTCTAGCCTCAGAGCCAGGCTTCTATACGGCACATCTTTTTGGGTGCTTCTACAGTATTATACCCTTCGAATCTTATTACTACTTACGGAACCCTTAGCTATTCAGCTAAAAGAAACACTATACTTAAGGCTCTTAAGCCTTTCGGAGGGACCAGACGATAAGATGTCGAGCATCTCATTTGACTTAAACGAGCTACTATACGCAAGGCTCGACAATAAGATTACGGCTCGAGCTATAATAAAAGATTTCTTAGATGCGAAGTGTAAAGGGCTAAGGGATTACGACTTATAGAGCTTATTTCGCTACGCTTTCTCACGCTAGAATTGGACGAGTTTTACGATAACGAAGGATAATACGAAACGAGGCTTTAAGTTTACTACCCTTATTAGCCTTAAGGAACACTTGCTGTCTAAAGGCGTGTGGTGCCCCTTAAAGCAAAGGGGCTACGCTAATAGGATGGTCAAGCTTTTAAACGACGAGCAGCAATACTAATAAACCTTTCAAGAAATAAAAAAGCAATAGGCAACACTTTTAGGCCTCGATTCAAGGTAGACCGCCGAAAACCTTACGGACGACGAGGATAATACGCCTCAACCACTTCTACCACCCTTACGAAGTCTAAAAGGGAAAGAAAAGGAAGAAGAGGAAAAGATTCGGAAGTTACGCGAGGAGTTTGCGAAGGAAAAGAGGGATATAAAGCAAAATATAGAAGTAATAGCAAGGCAAATAGCAAAATTACGGACTTACGCTATATAATCTAACGAAGGGCTACGACGAAGCACTTCAACGTACTTAACGCTCTTAATCTATCAATCGCTACGCAATACGTCAATTATCCAAGAAGAGCTAAAATCACTTTAGCGGCCTTTAAACCCCTTTCTCAAGAGCTACACCCAGCTTTTTGAAAAGCTTAGGCTTAGTAGCAACAATAGCAAAGGTCTTGAGATCATCATCGGACCAAATAACAATCGAAGCTACGGAAGCTATACGCTAAAAAAGGACTCGCCAAAACCTAAGAGCATACCGGACAAAATCAGCTCTTACTAAGGACAGCGTGCAGATTTCCGTGCCTAACCTCAGCAACCCGAAAGAGGGATCTAGCACCTTCGGACGTACCGACAAGCTACTTATATCTTTCAAAAGGCTACGTATCAGCAAAAGAGAAACTAAAGGTATAAGAATCGCTAAGAGCGCGCTTAAGAGTACGGATATCATCAAGCTAAAGCCTTAGCCGGTGACCCGAATAGCCCTAGCGATTCTAACGATGACCGACGAAAAAAAAACGAAAGAGATTAGCAAAGAGATCGAGGCTACGGGTACGGAGAAAGTAGAAATAAGCCCTTTAGACTATAAAAGAGATTCGGAAACGGACCTTTAAAGGACCCCGGATTCGGAAATGAGCCTCTTAAGGACCTTGGAAAAAGACGGACCACCGGCAACTATATCGGTAACCCTTTACCGATCAGACTATTAGCTAAGCATAGCACGCCTGCGTACGGCACTCTAAGCGCCTTTAACGACGATAGCGATAACTTCCTTAAGCTAGGAGCAGCAGACCCTTACCTAAGAGCGAAGGAGTTGGCTTTGTTTGCAAGAAGCTTTCTTAAAAAGCTAAAGTATTCGAGACCCGACGATAACTTCAAGACTTAATTAAAGATTTTTGCTAACCAAGCAAGTCGATACGGTTTAACCTCCGACGATTATTTAGCGGCGTTCCTTATTATGCTTACGAGGGAAGCTATTACATTTTACTATAATCACGTCATCAAAGCTAAGCTTCCGACGTTCAAAGCAAACGCTATTGCTATAAAGGACCATTTCGAGACCGATTACCGGCGGCAAGTAAAATACGACCGCTAAAAAGAAATTTCGCTAGATTTGATCAAGAAAGAGAATCTAAGGACCTCGCTTAGCGAGTGCTTTGAAAAGCTCGCTAAAGAGCTTAAAAGCATTCAGGGCTTTCTACGACCAAGTTTAAAAGACGATCGAAGTCTTGCTAATAAGCTATATTCAGCTTGTAAAAACGTGCCAAAGACTACGATTGCACGAATGAACCTTGCGTTTACTTCCACCGCCGCAATTGCCGACATCCGCCGAGCAATTGCATTTGCAATTAAAACCTTCCGATCCGCTAAAGCGAGTAAAGCTTACGCGAGCTTTAGCGAGCCATACGATTACACCTGCTCTCACAACACCTTAAAGGCTGACTCCGATTTAGACGAGGAATACGAATGCTTTATTCAAGACCGCTAATACTTCGGAGGTAAGAAAGCTGCCAAGGCTATTAAAGGTGAAAAAAAGTGTTTTGTTTGCAAAAAGCCAAGCTGCTAAAGCACCAACCACACCCCCGACGAGAGAAAGGCATTCGTCGCCAAGTTCCAAGCTTTTAAGGACGCAAAAAAGGTGACGAAAAACAAATTCTTTTAATACGTAACATCGATTGAAAGCTTGCTACTTGTATTTACGAAAGAATTCGATCAGTTTATCGCAAGCCTACCAAACGAGCCGCCCGAATCGAGCAGCTACGCCAATATATTAAAAAGTTTTGTGATTACCTACGGCACTTTTAACGCTAACGAAGTATACAAGCAACTAGAGATTCAGACGGCATTCCACGCCCTTACTAGCCAAATCGAGACCCAAAACGTGCCTACGGGCAAAGCAAAGACCTATATAGCCTTTAGGTACTTTAAAAACGTATTTATAAGCCTTATGATTAACAGCGGAGCAGCCAATTTCTCTACCGCTAGCTTGCCCTAGCTACGAGCACTTTAAAAGAGGTACCTCGAGGTTTAATTAAATACATCCTAAGCAAAAGAGAAGTCCGTCAAGTATAGGATTAGCTTTGCTACTTCTATTAAAGCAATTACCTTAGAAACGCTTTTAAGTCAAGTAGAGTTCTACGTTGTAGAAAGCGATATACTTTTCTTATTCTTATTAGCTAATATAAACAAGCACAAGGTGATCTTAAATAACTTGCGAAACGTATTAATGCAAAAGAAAAAGGAAATACTAATAGTAAAGATATTTAAGCACGTATAGATGCTATTAAGTAAAGAGCACGCTGCTACTTACTACAGCACCGAGGGCGAGACCGTCTATTGCTACTTTACGGAAAAGCAATTAAGGACCATCCACAAGCGTTTTAACTATCCTTTAATAAGTCGATTTGCTATTGTTCTCAAAAGGGCCGGGCACGAATTTAAACGGGATTTGCTTTATAATATTTAAAAGTTTTGCTACTATTGCCAAGTCTTTAAGCGTTCCCTTAGAAGATTTAATATCAAGCTCAAAGACGATACTAACTTTAATAATACGGTATACGTAGACGTAATGCACTTTGACGGCAAAAACGTATTGCACGTCGTTTGCGATTCTATTAATTTTCAAGCCGCTACCTTCCTTAAAAGCATATCCGCATAGCACTTACTTAAAGGATTTAATAAATGCTAGGTCAATACTTACGTCGGACCCTTTACAAACGTCGTGCACGATCCCGAAACCAACTTCAATTCGGCAACGTTCCGAAGCTACCTTAAAAGTATTAACAGCACCTTAAAGCAAATGCCTATAGAAGCCTATCATAGCGTCGAGCTAATAGAACGCTATTACGTCCTTATGCGACGCGCCTTTGAGATCGTCATAAAAGAGCTTCTAAAAGCCCCAAGGGAAGACAAGCTTTAAATAGCTATTAAAGCCATCAACGACACGGCGGGACCTAATAGCCTGGTCCTTACGCTTCTCGTTTTTAGCACCTTACCGAGGCTAACGGAACAAGATCGACTTGCCGCGTTTACCCAAAAGCGTGCTGCTGCTATTAACAAAGCTATAAAGGAAGTACGAAAATGCTACGCCGCGAGGCAAGTTAAGGACGCGCTCAAGAAGAGGAATAGACCAATTACGGAGCATACTTTAGACCTCTCTATTAGTTCACGAATACTCGTGTAGCAAGAAAACCAAGGGTAGAAGGGCCCCTTTCAGCTGCTTAGCAAGCAAAGGCACACGTATACAATGGCATATCCGAGACTTACGGAATTCAAGTCAACCTTAATAAAACCTTACTACTTTAAAGTTGAAAAGCTGTCAAAGGAGTTGCAAGTACTTAAGGTAAAAGCGGAAGAAGAAAAGGATAAAAGCGAAAGCGAAAAAAAGCTAGAACTACGAAAATCGCTTAAACCTTAATATTCGCATAATCTACCGAGGTCGCTTAATCTAAGAAGCTCGCCAAAACCAATAAACAGCCCTCTTAACCTTTAACTTGCCAATCCTTAGAAGTCAATAATACTAATAGTCTAGATACCTTACTAAAAGTACGATCCGAGTATCTCGACCGTGCTCGATGAAAAGAAAGACGATTCTTACGTGCTATTCACCAAGGACTCCGAAGTATTGATTACCGATAAAGAACGCCGAGACCATAAGCTCTCAGCTAAGCTACGAGCCGAAGGAATTATTAAAAGCCCCGGGGCACCATTTCAAGAGTCTAAAGCAAAGGAATTAGTTAGATTGATAGCCTAAAGCATCCTTTAAGTGATCCCGGACATCGACCTACGCGCTAAAGGCGCTAAGATCTTCGGATCTAAGTTTATTAACGAGATTAAAAGCAAAAGAACACTTACGCTATACGAGAAGTCTCGTATAATGGTCCAAGCCTTCTAAGACAAAGGCAAGACGAAAGTACTCACCGAGTCTTTTACGATACAGCGAGCGAGCCAAAGACTCTGTTGCGCTTTGGCTCCTTCTTTGATAAAGGACTACAAGTGCCAAGTCTATAGTAAGGATATCATATAAGCTTACACTCAATCAAGCACGAAGCTTATACGAATAATCGTCGTGCGACCACTTAAGAAGATCACTTATCGATTCCCTTTCGGCACCTTGTTCTTTATGACTAGCCTTTTATACGGCATCCCCGAAGCAAGAACGCACTAGTATAAGCGTTTTTTAAAGCATTTCACGAACAACCTCGAAATAAGGCAATCGAGCTTTGATTTTTGCTTTTTTATATCAACTAACAAGGATCAGCTAAAAATAGCTGCCTTATAGACGGACGATATTCTTATAGTTGTCAATCCAGTTATAAAGGCAAAGGAAAAGAAAGAGCTGGTCAAATCCAAGCTAAGGAGCAAGGAAATAAAGACCCTTATATACGCCGAACCGATGATTTTTAATAGATGCAAGCTATCCTTAAATAAAAACGGGTTCGGGCTATTAATTAGGCAAAAAGGGCAGGGTGAAAGGCTTGCCGTGATCAAGCTTGATTCAGCCACACGGGCTAAAGAGTACTTAGAGCAACGTGCTCGAAAGGCGTATTTAGCTATTATTTGCTACCCAAAGGCATTTTGCGCTCTATCGATAGCTGCTCAACACCAAGAACTAAAGGACGAGGACTACAAGGCCTTTAATAAAGTGATCCAGTAGCTGATCGATCACCCAACTCGAAGGATCTATTACGTGCCTTTAGACTTAAGGACGGCGAAGCTCTTTATATTCGTAGATAAAGCGTTTGCTAACAACGCTAACCTTAGCTCTTAGATCGGTTTCGTAGCTATCTTTAGCAATAAGGCTCACGTAAGTAAAAACGAGTTCATTCTAACGGATAACATCCTTTATTAAGTGTCACAGAAATGCAAGAGAATGATAAAAGCAGTATTAGCCTTTAAGCTATACGCTATGTCCTTAAGTATCGATATAGCTATTGCTATATCGACCACCTTTGCTTAAATCACAGCTTAGCTAAGAATCCTTAATTTCCCCGTAATAGTATGCATTAACTCTTACTCGCTTTACGAGTATATAATAAAGCTAGGAACTATTAAAGAAAAGCGCCTTATAATCGATATTATAGCTATTCGAGAGTCATACGAGAGGCGAAAGCTTTCTAAAGTACGCTAGATCGGAAGCAAATCCAACCTTGCTAACGCCATAACTAAAATCGAAGCCAATTCCTCTTTGCAAAAGCTAGTTTTGACCAATACCTTAAAGATGCAAGTAGACGGGTGGGTAAAAAGGCCGCTATAAGAAAAAGAAAGATAAGATTGTTTTTCTTTTATTTAATTACCTTCCTTCCTTTTTCGATCGATATAATAGTTAGCAAAGCACTACTTGCTAAAAAAAGAGTTGCCGGTGTCGATATATCCATATCGACCTTAATTAGCTAATAGTAGTAGTTAGGAAAGCTCACTTATGAACCATGGTTCACGGGCCACTTGGCATGCCTCGCTTAGCATGTCAGCAGTCAAGGGACCCCTAACTTGACAAGTAAGCTTATTAGTTAGCTAGTGCACGTGATTCCTTCTAATCATATAGAAGGAATCAGCTCCCTTAAGCATTGGGGAGCAGACAGAATTCAGATACTTTATCAACCGAGTGTTTTGCAATTGCAAGTACTTTGACGACCTTACGAAGTTACGAATATATTCCTAATCGCTTGGAAGCAATCCAACAATACTTGCTTTTTTTGGATTTTTAACGAAAAGAAGTTTTAGCTGCCGAAAGTGATTTGCTAGCTAATAGAACGAAGCGAGCAGCTTTAGCCGTCGAAAGTAATTTTTTAGCTTTTTTATATTGAAAAAAAAGAATATCATTTTCACTTGAGTTTTCTTTATCATCGCTTTGCTTTTCTTTATTTGTATTACTATAAGGCATCGTCTTCGTCGCGGTTTTTATAGCTATAGTTAAGCCCGAGATAATAAGAGACCTTTTAAAAGCTTTTTGCGCGAAAGCTTTTTTAATGCGATTGCTAGTAAAAGTAAAAAAAGGTTTAGCAGCTGCAAAAAAATTGTTTTTAGCACTTAGGTCGTAAGACGGATTTTCGTTTTAAAGCTGAGCTAATGCACTCGCTTAGCTCGTCGATTGTTATATTGCTTTTAAAGCAGTTTTAAAACAATTAGCGAACGAAAGAAAAAGGTTTAAAAAAATTAAACTTATTAAAAGCTATTAGTACTTATACTAGTATTATTAAAAACGATGCTTTTGTTTATTTCGGATTGAATAGCCGGAATAAATCTAATTGCGTTTGCTAAAGAAAAATTTGATTAATAAATATTTATTAATTATAAATCAAAAATATTACTAGATCGAAGTCTAAAAGATAATAAGTGCTAGTTTATATTTGCGCGAGAGTTTATTAATGTTTAAAAAGCGTTACTTAAAATAATAAAAATTAGCAATTATTAATTAATAAAGTAATTAATACTTACTAGCTTGACCTTAAGAAATTCGGCGAGAAAAGGACGAAGATAAATCGGTTT